CTTCACAGCACTGGCCTGAAAAACACAAAGGTATGCATGGCCCTGACCAGAAGAGCCTGATCTCTGAGCATCTCTGTGCCAGAGCTGTGCAGAGAGCTGTTCCAGTCCTGAGGTCGTTGCTTACTGCCATACCTCCATGAAGTCCTGGACTGCAATAAAAACAGTATGCATAAACGGTATTCAAATTTAGCATATAGAAAGGACAAGGAGTTAGACCAAAAAAAGTTAATGACAGTTTTTTTTATTACCACATTTGAAACCTAAATTTGCAATTGAAAACAGCTGCTCTTTGGCTTGCTCACTTTCTATTTCCTGAACCAAAGTAAGCAGTATGTCCTACCAGGATCTCATACTTTTGAAAAACATATCAGTTTTCATGAACTGTGAGACCAAGAATTCTCTGCAGACTCAAGTTTCAGTGAGACTTTTGCCTGAGAAAGGACTGCAGGGTTGGTTTGCTATTGCCCAGAAAATCTTCTCCTACTCAGCAAGTGTCTTTTGTCTTGGAAGAAAATGTAAGCATTAGACATGAAAAAAACACATTCGTTTACTTAGAAGCATAAGCTAACAAATGGTAGACAACAAATTTAACATTAAAAAAAAACCTGTTTTGGGTGGTCATGGAATTGCAGGAGATGTAAGGGCCAATTTTCATCCTACCAGCTATCTGACTATGGTTTGCTGCTCTACTAAACACTGATGCCACCCCTGGGGCATCTCACCAGAGCTCAGAACTCCAAAGGTGCAGCCACAGAAGGCTGCTGAAGCCCAAACACAGGCTTCAAGCCTTACTGGGGATGAATATAGCTTTCTTACCTACAGATTAGAATTTCCAGCCTTCAGAAAACTCAGATGCATTGAGTTATCTTTTCTCCCTTGAAATTCAATTCACACAATATGAAAAGGCAGCTCTGGAGAATTACAAAATACACTGCTCTGTTTTTCTTATTTCCAAACACCACGTAATGTTTACATTATGGGGAAGGAAGCCAAAACACGCAACTGAGTAGAAAAGAGAGATGGAAATAGCAAACACAAAGAAAATTCAAAATTGCAGAAATTTATCTTGATGTTTACCTATATTCCAATCCTTCAAGAAGACCGAGCACCCTGATACAACTAGAGCAGGTTGTGACAGCCAGAACCATTTGATGTCACCTTGGCTCTGTGACAGAGCCAGCCCATGCAAGAACGTTGACACTGTTTTCCTAGCGAAGTAAGCACTAATGGCATTAAACCTGACCCTTGGTCTGACATGTTTTCCTTCCTCAGCTGCCATTGCCCTACAACATTACCAGCTTTCCCTTGAGCAGCTGCATTATGACAGTGCTGGTTTAAAGCATGGTTAGACTTGTATTTCACATAATAAGAATTGATTTTCATATATATTCTCCTACACTTGGTAGGGATACAGGAGGTTGTGAGTATACTATAGCAGTGCAGAAATGATTGCTTTCAAGGTAGGAAATTTTATTTTCTCTTGGCTCCAACGATATTCCAAGAGATAGGAAGCAGGAGAGCTTTAGCAATTTTTGGATTAAGCTCTTCTGCAGGATGATAGGTAAATGTGCTTTTAAAACTAAGCACATGCTTTTATCCCTTTTTTAAAGCACGGGGATAAGCAACTGTGGTTATAGCAGGATATGACTGGGTTACCCCAGTAGCCCATATAGACACCCTGCATAGAAAAAGATGCTGAACATTTCTCTAGTTCTGCCCACTAACATTCATCTTTGCTCTCACAGATAGTAAGCAGGTCTTGCAATTTCAAATAACATTAAAACCAACTAGATACTATGAAATCAAATATCAGATTCTCAGAAAATACAGCTCATTTGATGGCAATTGAATCACAAGAGGGGTAAAGTAACTTCATAATTTGAGTCTTGATTCTTCTAGTGCTAGCTTTTCTGCTCAGGTCGTACGATCATAGGGTCATAGAATCATTAAGACTGGAAAAGATCTCTGAGAAAAAGTTTTCTTTCATCGTTTTGTTGCTTCACAAGCCCACTTTGTCCACGGCAATAATTATCAGTGCTGCTGCTATTCAAATTTCTACTCTGCTGACTTTGCAATTATCATATATGATTTCAACCAGAGTGAGCAGGAGAGGATGCACCAATCAATGCACCAATACTCTGGGCTGACTATTAGCCTCTGCAGTCACATTTACCACCTGTCTTTAAATCTTTCAGTGTGGTCTGGCCCTTACAGATTCCTTGGAAGCAAGAAAGCCAAGCAGACTCTTCTTACAGTTTTGGAGTAGCTGTCATCGGCTTAAAATGACTTGTCCTCAGTAGCCACTCCATCTTCACTTTATGGCAAAACAGCCCTTATCTACATCCGTGAAGACAGATTCCTGTCAAATCTGTTGTAGACACTAGGGATGGTTGAGAAGGCTTACAAGAAAACAACTTTTAGATCTATATATGGCACAACTCAAACTGCATTTATTATACTTTCAAATACGTTTTACTCTCTTCTGGTTTCCAGATGGCTCTGGATCCAGAACACCAGAATACCACAAAAATGCTGCTTTTTTCATGCTGCAATCAAGAGCAGATGCAAAACAAGAATATAGAAAAATCTGTTTCTTAGAAAATGTCTCTTTCTGTTTTATAAAATAAAAGAAGTTTAGATAATTCGAGTAAACTTTGTGAGTGCATCTAAACATTCAGAATTGCACTGAAACACACATTTGAAGCCCTTGGAAGTATATCTTTCACTGTTTGCTCTAATGAGGGAATTGGAGTACTTCAGTGCGTAAAATTCAGGAGACTGGACTTTAGTTTAGCCTAGCTCTAATTTAATTTTTGGCTTTGACAATATCACTTACATTTTCTGTTGCTCAGTTTCCTTATTGATTCAGGGAGTCATGCTTCTAATGAAAATTATGGAAGTGTCAAGGTAGCAGTCTTACTATTGTTATTATTTTATTATATTATATACAGAGAGAAATTAACCATTTTGGAGATGAATCATTATTCATTAGACTATTGAACTTGATTCAAAACCCAGTAGCAGGCTAGCAGTTGGGGTTTAATCAGCAAGGTGGCAAGATCCTCCAGGACTTGCTGACTCCCCTGAAAGATGAAGGTATACAGTTATTTTGGAAGTTGCCTCACATCTTTCAAGACCATGCCCCTAATGAGTTTATTTACTATTCCTACTTTCATTGTCTGTCTCTCCTAATTAGCAGTGCAGATCTTGTATTCAATGAGTATTCAATAGCTGCGTGTGCACCTTCCTTTCAAAACTCTTGCCCACATCAAGCATACCATTTGGAAACATGCACACACATGCTCATGCATAAACCACATGGTGTGGTATAGGAAAATGAAGGTACTTATAAAGCTTCTATTTTTTCTGACTATGTAGAAAATTTTAAAAAGCAGTAAGACAAGATTTAACCATATAATACCTTCACTGATATTAGTGCCCAATGCTTAGTAAGAGGGATAGTATATAAATGAATAAATATATGCAAGTGAAGAGGGTGAATATTAGCTCTTGTGTTTTCATGGCAGTTGACTGATACTTGCAGCAATCCTAACTGATAATAAAAATGATTTATTTAAAGGTTTATTATGAACATTGCAGGAAAGGAGATAGCAGATATGCACCACTTTGTTTACACTAACATTTCCTGCAAATTAAAAAGAGTTCTTACTCTCTGTTTGGTTTTGATTTGGTACTGTATCAAGTATCTGTTTATAAAAGGAAATATGACAGTACAAAGCGTACAAAGTAAGTTGCAAAGGAGATTAACAGTCAAGGTGAGTTTGCTTTAAATTAAGTCCTAGCAACACAGGCATCATAGATCCCATTAATGTAAGGAAAGTTGATCTGAGACAGATCTTTCATAACTGAGAGCTGAACTGCCTGAAACTTGGGCACTGAAACTTGCTACTCTCTGAAATAGGATAAAGCAATACCCTTTAAAAAATGTACAGGTCTCTCGCAGTGTCAAAAAAATACAGTGTTAGCCATATGACACATTTGAACATCCCCAACCTGTGCTATGCTGCAATGATCACAACCAGAAGAGCAGAGCTTTCCAATGCTTCCTTCTGCACAGTTCTCAGGAATTCAGCTACCTGTATTATCTATCAATCAGAATAGGAGACTTCGGCATGAGGCAGTAAGTGGAGATCCCAATAGAGCCAGGATGGTTTAATTTCACTGAGATGCCAGTGCATACAGTAACGATCTATGAGATATATCAGGAGAAAAAGCCCAAGCTATTGTTTTCAAAAAAATCAGGATATGAAGAGATAAGGCAGGAAAATTATGTTTCAGAGAGCTACAAAAAAGAAAAGCTGGATATGAAGTAATGTATTTTAAATGGACTACGTCTTGAAGATTTTTTTCTTGAAACTCAATTTTGCAGAGTTTTGTCACTTTTAATGCTTACTAACCAGCTTATCACTGACTAATTTTTTTAAAATCACATTTACCTGATAAAGGATGTTGCAACCTCATATTGCCCCACCCCACAGAGAAACTTCTGGGAAGAGTCTCAGATGAGGATATTATTATTCATATTTGAAAAAGAATAGTGAAAACAGACATCACATGCTTCATCAGAAAACTGGAGAACAACCTGTTCTACAAAGCAATTTCCTTTGTTGAATTAGCCTTGGAGACATGCTAACATCTCTAGAGACTGAAAAATCAACACTACAACTGCATGGATCTCCACAGCATCCTCCAAGGGAAAGAAAAGTGCTGTGGAAGTGCTGCGTCAGAGTCCTGTTTACCATTCTTATGCATACTGCAGAAAATTACAAAGTTTAAAATCCTTAAAATACCAACATCATATAGCAGTCAACATTCACAAAGATTCATGGGTTTTACTCCAAATAGTTCTAGGATCCACTGTGTGATATTTAGTGCTATGAAAATAATGATGGATTTTTATGATCAGGTAGTTAATAAAACCAATTTGCAGAGAACTGAGCATACAAATTCAATAGTTTAGATGGTACGCTGGCACTTACCTGGGGGCACGTGCTCATTCATGATGACAAGCGATGCTGGTGTAGGCCTTCTCTTCCTGATCTGTAAAATACAGAAACCAAGAGCCATCAGGGACCACCAACCATTCCACACTCAAAGCAAAGCAAACATCATGTCCTTCTGAGACTAAATCAGTTCAAGTTAAAAACAGCAATGAAACAACAACAAACATTCAAAAAAAACCTCACTGTCTTTCTCACTGCTCTTCTGGACTGACAGCGATTGAGGTCATGCTGCTACTTGTGCATGGAAAGCCAAAGCATGGCAGAGAGCCCTCTAAAATACCCTTATGATTTGCAGTCACCTTGAATAAGTTTTTGGATGTGTATTACTGATGTGTTTCTCAAAATACTGACATTCAACTTTGCTGTAAGAAAATAACTGCAGCAGCTGGTGAGCTTATATATTCAAATACCTACTTGTAGTGCAACTTTTATAAGTAATTATTAAAATGAGTATTTTGTAAGCATAAACAAGAATTGATATTGGACATAAGTCTTCTGATGAATCCATATTTCTAAACCGTGGTTATCGTTCTTCAACTGACAAAAAAACTAGAGACTTTCAAAATAATGTTTCCAAAGAGCACTGTACCATAGATATTTACCTACGAATATATGATCCTGAATAGGGATTGTATGCAATTCTTCTTATTCAAAGTTTATTTGGTTAAGCTTTTTTGTTCCATTAGCACTGCCTGAACTACATGATATTGGACTACTCTCCTACAGGACATTCTTGCATTGAAAGTTGCTACACTAAAACCTTCAGGCTATATCAATATTCTATTGAATTTAAGAAAGTGACCAGGAGTATTTAAGTTAGAAACAAACCTCACACAAATGTACAATGTCAGTGTGTTTGTTCTTTTTCAGTTGCTGAGCCAACATCTGTAGTGAGCTGGGTTCAAATTTTGCTTTCAAAGGGGTAATGGAAAATCACATCATTGGGTTTAATAGGGTTATTCCAGATTAGAGAAAATGTAGCTGGCAGCAGCATTTGCTAGTTTAATTTCCTCACATGCCCGTGGCTCTTGGAATTAATCTCTCAACATTAAAAAAAAAAGCTTGTCCTTAAATACTGGGCAAAATTTGGGGCGTAGCATTTCAAAAGCCATGGGAATGCAGCAAAATCCAAATCCTAAGATTCTCACAGGGTTAAGAAAAATGTCAGAACACATCCTATTTGAATTAACTGCAGGACTATAAGCACAGACATTCTATAGCTTAGAAGTACCTATGGTCAAAATGAAGACCTGCAGCAGTTCTCTCCTGCACCCTTCTAGCACTTCTTCATTCAGTGGTCACTCACACATCATTTTCCAGCAAACATCTGCCTTTTAAGAGACACAACATCCAAACATTCAAGAAACAAGATACCTGTCCTAAAGGTGCAAATAATTTTATAGTTACTAACACAGAACTGTCAAGGTTAAAATATTCCCCTGGTATCAACTAAAAAGAGACTTACCAAAATAGAAGTGAGTGTCAGGAAGGACTTGCTCTGAGAGAAACATACTGGGTGACCTAATTATGACTTATCCAGTATTTCTTCTAAGCCTGTGTGTGTCCTTCTTTATGTACATCTGTGCATAGCTGTTCAGAATACCAGGCATCTTTTCCTACACGGACTGCTATATTGCTATATATATTTTACATCTATCTGTATATGTGATTCAAAACATAAATAGTACACATATTAATTTCATGTATACATGATTCTACATCCAGGCACATTCCTACACTTAAGCATACGTATTTCAAATAGTTAAAACATGTTAACAGTGACATAAAGAAGAGTGTAATAATCATGTGAAATACAGGAGATAACTGAAGGGATGGCTGTATGCAAAATGTAACTCTCGTTTTTTCATGGTAAAATGAATGGTAAGTTGTCTTCTAACTGGACTATGCAATATATCTATTAGGTACCTATTATCAACTTCATGTTTTGGTTTACATAAAAACAATGTGCTTTAGTTGATTGAGAATGAATATTCAAGTGGAGTGTATGCATTAAAGTACAAGTCCAGTTACAGAAAAGGTATAGCAAATGTACACTGGGTAAACCTCCCTGAGGCAAAGAAAGGTTATTCTGCCTGGAGCACATATCCACCTCTCTTTGCATGTATCCAGACATCACAATGACCTCCAGAGCATTTAGTCTATAGTCAAACTAACATAAGTTAGGAAAGATTTTAGGTCATATTACCTGTTAACACCCTATCTTGCCTCCATCCACCCCATTCCCTCAAAAATAAGCCAAAGAAACTTGTCGTCCTTACCTGCTCGGCCGCTTCAGGATCTATTTGGCTCTGAAACAGCGGCACGGCAAATTGGATCTTTTTGGGGCTGTTGGGCTCCATGGCTGATGTGAGGTGGGTGAGAGCAGAGCTTGGAGTTCCTGAGAGCAGAGCCTGGTTCTGCGGCTCCCTCGGCACCCTCCCGAGAGCCGCGCCGCGTGCTCCTCAGTAACAGCTGTAATTCCTGACTTAGCAAGTGGATCTGTGTGAGCCGAGCAGCGCCCTTATTCCACATCCACAGAGATGCCGCTGGCTTGGCTATTTTTTCCCCCTCTCTTCTTCAGTCCTTCAGATCCTCTCAGCACAAAGCTGAAAGGAACAATAAGCTAATTGTGTACCAGTTCACTTCTGCATATGCCAAGCATTCACTCAGAAGCTAATTGAAAATGCGATACTAGCATTGCATGGCCTGGAGCCCTGGGATTTGAAAGAGAGGATCTCTCCGCCGTACATTACTAACTGGCTGCTCAGAAGTGCAATGCAAGCTCCCTCTGAGTATTGCTGATGGGCTCTTAATTATTGATGAACACAAATCAGGAAGTTTTCAGTTTTTGGGGGTTGGAGGTAGCAGGAGGGGTGGTTGCAGTAATTCCATCTCTGTTACACTGTGCCAGAACCACTCTCCTCTTCTCACATATCACACAATAGCCTTTGCTCTTCCAAATCCTTTTCTAAACCTTTTCCAGGAAGACTTTTGATAATGACGCTACGTAGATACCCACACCCTCACGAAGCATATCTGGCGTACAAAGTGCAGTTTGCATCTTAGGCTAGCTCAGATTTAGGCTCTGATCTCTTCTGGTAGGATCCATCTCGTGTATCTTCAGATACTGAGAAGTTTCACTTTTAAGCCAGCAATCTGGGCTCCCTTCTGCTTGACATATCGGAACACATTTTACTCTGTTCTAGTTAAGAGGAACACAGAATTTACTGGAGATGATATTTTCCCTCTGTCAATCCCAGGAAAGGTAGAGTCGACTCAGGATAAAATTCAGAGGTCTAAACCTACTTTGGAGTAAAATCTGTGCTTTCTTTTAAGACAGTGAAAATAACATAACTAATATTAATAATATTATGTTGAGCATACCTGATTTTCACTTTTTATTTCATCTTAATTGAAAGTCTCTTTCAGAGTCTCTTATAAGTGAGCTCTTAAGAGCTCACAACCACTACAAGACAGTACAGACAGCTGCTGCAGACTGATCTGCAGCAAAATTGTGCTTGGTGCCAAAACAGAAAACAGCAAATGCTGTAGACAGGTCAAAGCACTATGTTGCAAGCATAGCTGTAAGCCCACAGTCATAGAGCTTTGGGCCAATCTCCTGATATCCATTACCAGCAGTTGGAAAAAGACAGAAAATGTGGTGCAGAAGGAAAATCCGATTGGTATGGCACATCACAGGATGTGCTTTCATCTGGAACATGACTGCCTGCAGAAAGCAAGTGAGTTCTTGTTAGGTTTTTGGGAGATCTGTGAACTCTCTCAATAGATCTCCAACCAGCCACAATGAAGAGCAAACAGGTGGGTCACGCAGAGAAGAAAAACAACCTGAGCCTGCCCCTGACAGGCTGCAGTAAGCAAAAAGAGAAGCAGCAGAATTCAGAGCTGAGACTGAACATCACCAAAACTTAAAGGAATTTGAAAATGCACTTTTGGTTCTGGCCACTAGAAGTGGTAAGGATTTCTACAGTTCATCACAGGTTTATTCTAGAATCACTGAGTATTTCCCCATCTGTGCCAGTGTGGGAGGCGGGGGAAGGAGCTGGGATCCTGTATGTGAACAATGTGCAAGCTGTATGCAACAGAATAAATCAGGAAAATCAAGGCTTTGATTTATGCAAATGAAAACTGTTAAGACATTGTTGGAATAGCAAGATATTTCTGAACAGAGGCAAATACACAAGTAATCTAGTTTATGAAGAACTAAGTCTAATCCAAGAGGTGAGAATGCACTAAAAGGCAACAACCTAACACACACAAATATCAAATATAATGCACAGTAAAATTCCCCTTCTCATCCAAATCAGAACTTCTTTGTAACAAAATGCCTTCCAATTGATGGCCAGTAGCTGGAAAATTGCCAGTGACTTAACTGACAACTTGCCTGATGCTCTGTGGTGGTTGGCAAAAGAGCTCAGTAAAGAAAGACCGTCTTCTCCAGTTCCAGCTGTATGGCTGTATTGGCAGGGAGAGGCCTGTGGTACACATGGAGGTGCCGGCCTCAGCCTCTCTTTTCGCTGCACTGCTTGGGAGCTGGCTGCCCAGACATCCTCACTACAACAATAAAAGTATTTTCAGAATAGTAGAAGAGGCATATTTCAGAGAGCAGTCAGATATACAATTTCAGGATTACTGCATCAGCTCACTCTTACACCTAATTACAGCATGGTCTCCAGGCAAAATGTGCTTGCATTTTCTATAGACTGCATCACAGTCTGGGGAAGAGCTGAAATGCATTTAAGTGCTGCCAAATCCTTTTAGCTCATCTTCTGTTTTTAGTGCACTCTCCACAACGTTTTGAATTCCTTCATGATTCAGCTAAAACTATCATGGAAAATAAAAAATAACTGTCCATCATCTTTCCTTTCTATGTCATTCAGTAGGTTATGAACCACTACGTTTTAACATACCCTGCTGTCATGATGAGCTATCAAAGCACTCACAGCTCCTGTCTATTTTTCCTACTGTGTAAGGAAAGACTTTTAATTGCTTCACAGCCAAGGGCTCAGGCTGCTGGGAAGGAAACTTGGTGGGCTCTGTCCCACACACTATACAATTTTGGCTGTGTCTACAATCTGCCTCAGCTACTCTGCTGTGATCAAGGACTACCACAGCACTGGCCTGGAGCAGAGGAAGACCTGGAGCTGCCTCCAGGTCTACCCGCTAAAATCAGATGCAAATCTTCCAATAATAAACACTAGCATACCCAAAAGGGCTCTGAAAGTTCTCTTTCAAACACTTAAATACAGGTGTTGCTGTCACAGTTGCTCCCACTCAATAACTGGAAACAGTTTGAATTTTCATATGCAGAAAATGCAAATGTATGAGATCACATCTGCCTTGTGAGCAGTGAGTGATGCTGCAGGCAGGTCAGGATGAAGAACTAAAAGAGCTACTGGCCTACTAACAGCTTAATGCAGATTTCCATTGCTATAACTCATCCATCAAACACCAGGCTTTGGTCAACACTAATGGCATACATGAGTTCATGTAAGTAAAAAATACAGCTAATTTTGTTCATAATCTCTCTCTACTTGAGATAATCACTCCTTAGCAGTGTGGCTGTAATCAATATCAGTTTAAAGCTACCTTGAGGAGGTAAAAACTGATGCTATCTATTCAAGCCTTCCACTAGGGCTCACTACTCCCCCAACTATCAAGTAATGTACAAACATTTACTGGTAAGTACTGCTGTTCATTGAATCAGCACATCCCAAGCACAGGAAACAGGCTGCATTAATGGTACAGACATAACCTGTTTAGAAAGTCTGAAGATCTATATCTAATACAGACTGAGTTCAGTAGTGCAGAGACTAACGTTCTGGTAATGGCTTTACAGAGGAATTTCAGGAGGAAGTCATGTCAGAGTTCACTTCCTTATCAAGGAGAAAGTAAATTAACACATTTTTCAATAAACAGAACTACTGTGGACAGCTTGCATAGATGTTACAACAAAACTACATTAGCTGCTTTCCATATTAAGTCTTTGAGGCAAAAGTTTACTAACATTGAACTAAACAACTGAAATATAAAACTGAGTTTCCACCATAATATTTTAAAACAAAAGTTAAACTATAGAGGACAGGGAAGCTGAACAGGAAATGAGCTCTTAGAGCTTCAGAGCCTGGGTTAGAAAACTCAGTGTACAAACACAGGCTGCTGGAATGACAACGGAAAGTCATCAGCTGAGCTATAAAATCCCACTGAGTGTGACAAATTCACAACATATTTTTAAAATTCTGATTTTTGAGTTTGATATACTTAATATTTTGGTTCTTTCTTGCCTTCTCCTCCACCTCAGAGGACATGTTAGATGTAGAGAAGTCACAGTGACCCTTGGAGGTGATGTCTGCAGCACCTACATGGCAGCAGCTGCCTCACCCAGAGACGTCCAGCTGGGACAAATCCCAGGAGCTGGGGAACCATCATGTGTGATGCATCATTAGCAGGAGGAACAGAGCAACTCCATGAATAGGGACAAGGTAGAAATCAAAGGTAAACCCATTGTGAATGATGCATTCTCCAATGGGGTGCAGCCCCACAAGGCCTGAAACAGCAGCAGAGCCAGAAGGCACCGAGTAGAATTAAGGACTTGGTTCAAATAACAATCATGTCTCCATACAAGGTGAGCTTAAACTGTGGAGCTCATCACCACAGGATGCTGCAGACACCAGAACTAAGCGTACACCAGAAAAAGCAATTAGTGGAAAAGAAATCCATCAGGGATACCACTGCTGGCCAGGAAATCCAGAGCCACTGGCTGCTAATGGAAGGGCGGAAACACTCCTCACACCTCCTCAGGCTCAGTTCTTCCCAAACTTTTGATGTTGGCCACTGTGGGAGTGAAGACACTGAACAGGCCAGACTTCAAGTTTCATTTGCTACAGTTGCTCTTATGTTGTAAACTGTGATTGAACTCCAAGCTTCTCGTGAGTCTGTGCTAAGATTTTTTTCCATTGCTTATGTCATGTGAAAACATGCCTACATATAAATTTTCCTGCAACACCTCCAGTAATAACAATACTTAATTAAGGACATCTTTAAAGAATACTTCTAAAAGCAGTTGCAGCCTAAGCTTCGTTTGATCTGTGGACAGGACATTAACATGGAACATCATCCTTCAACACGACTTCTCTTGCCTTAATAATTTTAAAAGAAGATCTAAAACTAAAGCCAAACACAGAAAAGTGAAATTTCTGTAGCTGCTTTCTTTAAAAGTTGATCCTGAACTCCCTAACGAGTTGTAGCAAAAAATTAATTAGAGAAAAAAAGAGAGATTCTACACAATTATATAAATACTTCCAAAAATTTACAAAAAACTATACTGTGCAAGTAGGTATCTGTACCACAATGGGCTGAATAGCCACTCACCTGCTCAGACCATTCTTGCTTTCTGCCGTGATGTCTTCTCATTGCTATAATTTAATCACTTAACCATTGTCCAGGCTTTCCTGTTTTACACTGCTTTAAAAAAAAAAAAAAAAAAGAAAGAGAAGGGATGTTTCTGTATATAATAGTCTCAAGTATCTACCCAGAACTGAAAGATATACAACTTATGTGGAATTAGCAAGTTTTTTTTTAAAAAAAGAAAGAAAATAAGATACCGATCTCATCGTTACAGTTTCTCTTCTGACAATTCTGACCACTTTTTTTATATAGCATGAATATAAAGAATTACTATCACATCTACATTCACATTGAAATATCAAAGTAAATAAGCACTGTGCAAAAATGATGTTTCTTGTTTTCCTGAAAATCAAATGACTTATTTTGACACTGACATGTTAGTTCAGAAAAAAAGCGTTGTACTGGACCAAAGCCAGCAGTTATTTCACATCATCATCCACTTTTTATGAGTTTGGGTTTTGTTCTTTATTGAAGCAGCTCCTCCAAAAGAGAAACTTACCAGAAGTTTAGGTACAATGTTGCTTGGCACTGCAACCTATGTCCTGAATTACTCATTTCTGACTGGGGCTCCTGTTTCCTCTCTCTCATCAGTATCTTCCTTTGGCTGATTTCATTGAAATTGATTCATCTGTGAAACAGATGAACAAAAATGTTCTAACCTATACCACATTTTAAGTGTAAGCCATTTTTTCAGCAGTACATGAAATCCAGAGGCAGTACAAACACTGCCTTGCAAGACTCAGTAGAATAATACCAGTTAACAACTGCGGCTGGATTGTA